TTAGTTTAATAAGCTGATAAATTATCTTCTTTACAGGCATATTACCTCTGCTACAGCCTTTTGACTTTGACAAATGAAGCCTCCAATTTTGAGTTTTTACCCTCAGCTCAGAGAGTAAGTGTCCAATTTCTGTTTTTATATTATTGTATAGTAAGGGAGGAAATCTTCACAATTTGATTACATTTCAGGGAGTGACAATCCAATTCCAAAACAGTTCTCAGTGTATCTTAATTTTCATTGTTATTTTCATTGTTAACATTTTTATGTTTGGTCTGACGTATGCTTTTTCATTCAGTAGAATTATTGATGATGGACTTAGAAATCAGATTTTTGTGGATCGATCCAGCAGAATCGAGATGCTCTGTGACTAGATTTTACAGTGCAGTCTTAAAGAAGCAGTGTTAATGAATCAGTCACAGAAAGACCCTGTCAGTGGACACAGCCCCACTCTGTCTTCTGGTACCACTCATACCCCAGGGACCAATTATGAACATAACAAATTTTACTCTCTCAAGAGAAAGCAGTAGTTGTGTGAATTGAAGTGAGGGATGATTTTACTGACTAGAAGTGTGATGGGGTTTTTTTTTGGGGGGGGGGGGTTGTTGGTTCAATATGCATCTTCTTTAGCATTGTTCATTTAATCTTGAATAAGATCATTGTCATTAATTTTCAGATTTTTGACAATATTCAGTGCTGTATATGTCAATATTTTCTATGGAATGGCTTAAATTTTATTAATTTTTTTAAATAAGAGGAACCATAATTTCAACAAAACAGTCATTGTTGCTAATTAGATTTAAAAAATTTAAATTTAAATTATATAAAAAAATTAAATAATATCAAGGTTGTTTTTCACTACATGGACTCAAGGGATAAATATGTATAATAATAGCTTTTGTTTATAAAATGCACTAATATTATTAAGTAAGGTAGGGTCCTTATGGCAAAATAAACTCAACGAGACTTGTCAGGTCTTGTATCTGTCACGGTTGCACTACTGTGAGGAGTGCGGAGCGAGGAACGAAGGAGACGAGGAGTACATCAATCGAGAGATTTTAATGAATACAAGGGAACCAGGAAAACACACGTAGCACTCGGACGAACAATACCGGACAAAGAACTCAAAACAGGAAACACTTTAAGTACACAACTTAAGCAGGGGAAGACGAGACACACCTGGAATCAAATGAGAAACAATCAGGGAGCAGGAACAGGAAGATGACCAAATAAGGGCAAGGAAGGCACATGGGGAGCAAAACACACACAAAACAAGGAACAAAGTCTGACAGTATCATCCCGAAGGGGCTTATTTTGCGATAATGACTGTCCATTTACAATTCTGAATTATGACAAAAACAAATCTTTGAATCAATTTTTGAATCAAACTGACCAATTCCTAATGTTGTTTTTGCTGCTTTAAATCCCAAGTGCACAATAAAAGCTTTCTGTGACAGGTCTAATTTATTCCCTCAATATTGTATGAATAAAGTAAGGCACATCTGACTGTGCCTTAGTCTTTGTTTTGTCAGTATTGTTTTATATCACAATTGTATTACTTAATTAGACTAATTTGAGCCCTTTTTCACTTCCAGAATGATCTGCGGAGTCTTTCTTCTCAGCTGGAGAAGCATATTAAGTGTGACATAAGGGAGAGCGAGAAAATGCTGTATAGGAGCAAGGTGAAGAGCAGCTTCATTCTGTTCTCTGAGAATCCCTCAGATCCAGATTTTTATTAGCAGTGTGTTTCTTTTCTTCTGTAGGTGAAAGACTTTGTAGCAAGGATATACACCAAGTGGCAGGTGCTTCTCACACGAACGAGGCCTCAGGAGGTAATGTGAACGAATACAGTCAATTGAAGAATACAAGAATACCGTCAACTGTTGCTGATAAAAGCTGTTGTTACTTTTGGCTGGCTGTGAAGGCCACGTTTTGTTTACAAGTGTTTTCAGAATTTAAGCAGCATGAGTCCTTTACATTCATAACCTATGTATCTGCAGCTAAAAGGAAAGCATTGTGACTGAAAGCTCATGGGCAGAGTCAGCATGAAGAATTAGTGGAATTTTTTGAAGATCAAACTATTTGTTGTGTCATAGATGTCTTTTTTATAACAGTCATGCATTGCAAAAAAAGTTAATTGACCTATTGGTTTTCCCAAACCTGATGAGTATATTTTTATATAACACAAAAGGACATTTTTGAAGAATTTCCTGGTCACTCTTTAAGCTAAAAAAAAAGCTTGCAAAAGTATCATAGAAGTGGTCCATATGACTTTTGTGCTATTTCTGAGTCTCATGATAGCTTTGTTTTTTGGTACAGTTGTTCACTGAAAATCTTGACGTGTTCAATGAATCAGTTGATCAGAAAACGTTCTGAGCGATTTCTTCATTGCATCTTGTTGATTTTTTTTGCTACTTCTCGCATGAACATAAACTAGAGCTAATGTCAAGATATTCAGTGAAACTGAATTGTACAACATCACAAGATTTGCCGCAAAAGACGCAAATGCAGTGGTGAAGTGCCTTGTGTGTGATACTTGCTCAAAAAACGCAGTGCTTTTTAAAAAGTTAAAAGTTCAACTTCAACTTAAAAAAAAAACTTCTCTCGATCTTGCCTTTTTCTTTCCACTAACTTGCGTTTCCCTTTTTAAATGCAAAAATGCATTCTGTGTGAATGTCTCCTTGAAATATAATTTTCATATGTACTATTTTTTACCATACTGTAAATTGCATGGAAATGTCGTTCTACCAAATTTCTCCTTTTGTGTTCCATTAAAGGGTCACACTTTAGTTTAGGGACTAATTCAGACTATTAACTAGTTTCTTACTAGCATGCATATTACTAGCAGATTGGCTGTTTATTAGTACTTATAGAGTGCATATTAATGCCTTATTCTGCATGACCATATTTTAGATCCCTTTTAGACCTTACTATTAATAAGTAGCAAATTAGGAGTTTATTGAGGCAAAAGCCATAGTTAATAGAGATAATTGGTCCTCAAAGTGTGACCCATGAAAGTAAGTCATATGGGTTTGAAACATGAGGGTGAGTAAGTGATGACAGAATTTTCATTATTGGGTGAACTATGCTTCAGTAGGCCTCTTGTGTAATTCACAGGGAAAGCTGTACGATTACTGGAAGCCCCCACCAGAGGATGAGGTGTCCAGCAGTCCTCAGGGCCAGTCCTGCATCAAATCACAAGACACTTCAGAGAGTGCAGAAGAAACTCTGACCACAGAGTGGAGCAGTACAGAATCAGATGTAGATGCTCAGAGCAAAGAGGAAGAAGAGAACTTGCCGAAAGAGTGTGAGGAACCCCAACCTCTGGAGAGTGAAGTGAAGATCGAACGAGATGAAGAAGATAGCGTGGAAGACATCAGTGATGAAGAGGAGGAAAATGATGAGCCAAAGCAACAGCTGATAGAGCTAGAGGACGATAGAAAGTTTGAACCAATATCTGATGAAGAGCTGTTTGAAACTCATGAAGACTTCGAGTGTGAGGAACCTCAACTTCTGGAGAGAGAGGTGAATATCGAACGAGATGATGAAGATTGTATGGAGGACATCAGTGATGAAGAGGAGGAAAATGATGAGCCAAAGCAACAGCTGATGGAGCTAGAGGACGATAGAAAGTTTGAACCAATATCTGATGAAGAGCTGTTTGAAACTCATGAAGACTTGGAGTGTGAGGATGATGATGATCTCATGAACAGAGAGGAGGAGCTTCTAAAAGATGAAGAGCCTCATGAAGAAAATAGAAAGCACATACCTGTAGAAGAAAACACTGAGGTGTTAGAGGAGCTTGAGGACTTGTTAAAGAGCTGAGATGAAAAAGGAAATGAAGGAAGGGATTTGAGAGGGATGGATTTTGAGAAGTCTGAGAAAGAATAGAAACATTCTCAGGTCATTTCGAAAGAATTTTACACCGCACCTTTATTGCCATCCATGCATATACATTATGTGGGGTTTTGTGCATTCATTAATGTTTATAGAGTCTTTCAGTAACACATGTCATTCCTGTAGTTGTTTACAAATGGTTTATAATATATATTCTCTGTATGTGTTCTGCATTTACCAGTTGTTCTTAATTTGTTTTTATTCTTCTTATTGAATGTTTGGCCTCCGTTTCTCTGAAAATGAGACCATGAACATATTTTTATGAATATACATTCATTAGTGATAACTTGTAATATCTATATGATTAATGTGCACACTGGTAGTTTTCAGGTTCAACTCTTTATGCTGCTGTCGAATCTATTTTATTATTTTTTTTTTTAGTTACTCCAAAAATCTGGAGCATCTTCATCCAGAAAATATTACTATAACAGCAAAAGCAAGGGCTTAAATAATAGTCAACATTTCTCTGTAGGTTCCAAGGATGTTTAAGCATCTTAGTAGGCTTGAGTACAGAGTGAATATAGTGTATTTGTATTATTTTGGTGTTAGCAATCCAGTCTTCTTCAAAAAAGGCTAAATTTAGAGTGATGCTTGTCACAAGAATTATTTAAAAACTGATTTCTGTATTTCTTAAAAAGAGAGAAAATCCTTTGGTTATTTTTATGAAAATAAATACTTGGTCTGATAAACAGGTCTGTGTGTTTCCACTCACACTCCAGACTAGCCTGGTCTTGCAAGCGTTTACATCACAATTTTGCACTATTCATCTCTTCCAAATGGTGCTGGTAATTGAGCAATATGTATGATTTTGAAAACTAAGGCATGCCACTTGCATGCATATTCACTGATGTGTATTCCTATTCTGATCTCTATTCTGCAATCAGCATATTTAACAATGAGCAAATTGCATGTTTTAACAGTGCTCTTTGTTTATAATAATAATTGTGTAAGTGGGCTTTTCCAGTCGATAGCGAAGGAATGCGGTAGCCCAAATATTTCCCAGGAGCCCAGATGGTTTCCCCTATAATGCAGTCCGCCAGCAGCGTGTTTGCAGTTCGAGCGCATTGTTTGAGATGGAGAAGTGGCGCAGGAGGGCGTACAGTACCTGTGACGAGGATCTCGCGCACACAGCACAGCGAACATCACAGCTGAGTTCACTCCGCGTCTCCGCTCTGTCTCACGTTACTTGGCTTTACACTAACTACTAGACGACTTTCTTGCGTTTTTGCATGATTTGTGACGAAAGGCATTTCAGTAAGTAGACCACTTTGATACTGTACACGTTTTCTCATTCTTTTTGTGATACTTGTTTTCAGTGCACGTCTAAATAGGGAGCATCGCACGAAAGATAGTGAAGTTCTTTCTGACAGTTCAGTATGAACAAGTCTCTCATACTGTTGAGTGAAGACAACAAAAAGCTGAAATGATAATTAAAATGAAATTGTAATTTTGCACAGACGAAACCTCAACGTATATGGCAAGCCACATTAACATTTATTCCTTAAAAATAACTTTTTGTTACTAGTACTTCAGAAATATTGCAAAGTAAACAAGTAGTATCATTTTGTGTAGTACTAGTATCTATTAAATTTCACTAGCGTATATTAGTATCTGATACAAGTAACTATTCTTTCTATAAATTTTTTTTTGGTAAATATTCAAATATTTACTTGTCTGTTCTAGTATTCCTAGTACTAATTGAAAAATATTTATTAGACACTAGTGTGTATTCCAGTTGTTATTAGAAATGTTTTATTTTTACTAATAAGATTTTTCATTGAACAACCACCAAATAGTGCGATAAAACATGTTCAGTTGGAATATATATATAAACACACACACATACATACTAATAAAGTTTTAATAAATTTACTAGTAACTTTTGGGACAGATTAGAGTAACTATGAAATAAGTAATGGTACATAATAAATAGTTACTAGTAAGACTAAAATAGGTGCCAGCAATTTGTTACCAGTAAAAATGCAATAGATACTTGTACTATTGGGATAGTAACTAGTGGTAGTTCAGTATTTTAAGTATTAGCAAATAGTTAGAAGTAACTAAAGAATACAAGTGAAACTAAAGAAGGCACCAGCAAAACCTGCAAAACATACTAGTAGTAAGTGAAATGTCACACTAGTAACATAAAAAATAGGTGCTAGTTCATTTTTAGGAAATACATTTTAGAATGGCTTGCCATACAAAGTATAATCTTTCTTCTGTCAAAGACCAGTTCACTAGAAGTTAACCATTAAACTGTGTGAAAGGCCATATGACTGATAGGTATTTTAGGCTATTGATTCGTGATGAGAAAGACTGTGGACACGTCTGCATTTAATCAGATTAATGCGCAGAGTATTAGTCAGCTGACAGTGAGAATTTGCAGGGCTAATTTTTTCCTGGCACAAACACATTTAACTGTCCAAGTAAGATGACATCTGGAAGAAGAAAATCTTTGGGTGACACACCAGTTACAGAATGTACCCGGTAGAAATAAAACGCAAATTGAAATGTCTAACAATTGTTTCATAAATATGTGAAAGCATTATTGATGCATAATTCCGAAAGTCTTATTTAGCTTTGCTGAATTGTTGCTTATGGTATGCTACAAATATTAAAACTATTATTTACTAAATATATGCTCTCTCATTGTCATCAACAAAGTTTAAGGCTGCTCTAATGCTGCATTATTTACACAGATGCAAAGCAGCATCAGAGCCTGATATTGTAGGGGCAAAGCTGCATATTTTACTATGACATTTATGTGATATTCTGTATTTAAACTGAATTTGGAGCCGATACCGACAGAGCTGCTCAACTGTGTAAAGATACCTTTGTTGCATCCTGTCATATGATTCTTTTTTCTCTGTTTACTACATTTATAGTTCAACAGAATCTAATTTTTACGGAAAAAAGACAGTCCCTCATGTGATTCAGCATCTGGTCAATGACTCAGTGTACAATCAGCTACTATCAGTGCTTATCCTCAAGGTTCTATGCATGCAAGAATGACATTTTTGTGAAAGACGGCTTTCATAATTAAACAATTCTCATTCATAAGCCAAACACTGATTATGTTGTTATACTGATATCTTAAGCTGACCTTAGTAGCCTCTATGGAAGTTATTTATTTTTCTTTTTTTGTTCATTGCCTTGTGGTGGAATATTGATGGATCCTGTTTCATTGATGATGAACTAGATGGCGGATGTGCTGTTGAATTTCTGTGGAAGATTGTTAGGATGATTTGTCTAGACTCTCAAAAGGCCTTGACCCGATACTCTGTTCTTGAATGCAATTAATTCAAGGTTTTATAAATGTTTAAATGTCAAAATTCTGGTTGTGTCAGTTAGTTAGTTAGTTAGTTCCTTTACTGTCCACAAGTGGAAAACACACCATAACAAGACCAACACAACAAAACAATTCTACACAAGAACAATAATAAAAATAGACTCAACATTTCACTTTAGCATACACATACATATATACATTCCCGTATGTAAATATATATGCATATATATTAATATCCATGTCTCAGCATTTAGAATTCTAATTGCAGCTGGCACAAATGACATCTGATAGACATTCATAGTTGTTCGAGGTTGTTTAAAGCATCACCTTGACATCCTCCTTCATTCACAAACTCTGCAGGTCCTTAATGCATGGAATATAGCATGTCGCTGTCATTCGATTACATCCATGAAATCATGATATGAATTTAGTGTGCTTGTCGGTGCCGCTGTCTCTCTTTTGAGGCGGCTGACCCTTAAACTCACATGTAAATGTGCTCAAAGTGACTGACAGCTGGTTAAAGATGCATGAAGGGTCTCATGCAGTCACTATGCAGTCACTGTTCAGCTGAGCTGCTTGCAGAAACAGAGCTATCGTTTTCTCTCTGCAGCTGCTCAATTCTTGTCACTTGATTCAGTCCATCTTACAGCCTGATACCATGAATCCTGTTGTACAACTCAATGATTTATTTTTAAATCAACTCACAGCTGATCTTCCATTGTCTGGAATTGGCTTTAGCCCATACGGCTCTGAAAGCAGAGTAAGGAATAGCAGTATGTGTTTGACTGATCACTTTAGGGGCTCTCTGATGTGACCACTGTGCTGATCTGGAGCTGTCGCTGTGGGCGCCAATTGATATGCTTTCATTTGCTTTCTTATGGTTTTAGCGCTATGAGATTTTCCACTGGGAAGATTTGGCCTCTCATGTGTCTGACCTATTCTTTCTTTCTTTCTAGCTCTCATTCTCTCTAGGACATCTGAATTGGCTAAATAATAATACTGCTGATGGTTGTGTAGTTATAATCCTATAATGGATTTCTTACATAAACCTCCTACCCCTTAAACTGGATTCTAGTTTTGCACCAATCTATTATTCAGTCCGTGCTGTTCTATGAGCAGTTCAGTTAAGTTATTTGATTCCTGAAACTTTCAGTGATATTTAATACCATATACTGTCATATCTGCTAATGCTTTGTTGACATAAAATTCCTCCAGGGGCTGCACAGACCTTTCAAAGCATATTTTAGTGATGAAAAATCACTCTCCTATTAAAACCAATAAGGATTTTTTTGTCTGTGATTAAATTTGTCAAAATGATTTGAGCAACATGGTAAGTGCAAAAAGGAATGATCATATATAGTCTAAAAGTGCTGAAAGCACATTCAAAATCAGAATTAATCTTAGAAATAAACAATGTTTTAGGATTTTTAAATATTTTAAACAATTTCATTATGTAGAATTAAGAAATATGTAAGATGTGCTCTATTTTTAGGTCACTAATCAAATGTAAGAAAATGTGTGATGCTGACCGTGCTAACAGTGACGTTGTAATGAATTTATAAATATATTACAGTAGGCAAACTGTTTAATGTATTATTTGTATAATATAATATACACTATATATACTACAATTCAAAAGTTTGGGGTCAGTAGAAAAAATGAATACTTTTATTAAGCAAGGACACATTGAATAGATCAAAAGTGACAGTAAAAATATAGTGTTACAAAACATTTCTATTTAAAATAATCTTTTAAATGTTCTATTTATAAAAAAAAAGGGTGAAAAAAAGAAAAGAAAAATGCATCACGGTTTCCACAAAAAATTAAGCAGCACAACTGTTTTCAACATTGATAATAACAAGAAATGTTTCTTGAACCGCAAATCAGCATATTAGAATGATTTCTGAAGGATCATGTGACACTGAAGACTGGAGTAATGATGCTGAAAATTCAGCTTTGCATCACAGGAATAAATTACATTTTAAAATGTATTCACATAGAAAGTTGTAATCTTAAATTGTAATAATATGTCACAGTATTTACTGTATTTTTTATCAAATAAATGCAGCTTTGGTAAGCAAGCATAAGTGACTTCTTTCAAAAACAAACCAATAAATAAATAATTTCAAAGCATATTTTACGTTTCATACATTTCAACTTTGCTCATTGATGTTCTTTCTGTTGTTGGAAAGAACAGTATGAGGGATGTTGATCCGATAAACCTCTCTGGCACAGTACTGCTGATTCCTGCACTTTAGCAGGTGTGAATTCAAGCACATCTGTGCAGTTATGTTTGAGATAGTTTGTTTTGTGTGTTTCATTTATACCGAGAGAAAAGGAGTGAAAAAGTTTTGAATGAACAAGAATACGGTGGCCTAGAAAGCCACTGGGAATGTGTTCTCTGAAGAGGAGATAGAGGGAAAAGAAAACAGTGCTCATCTGGTGCGTAAGCCTGTTTAATGGAATGAGGGAGAGAGCGTGTGTTTATCTGAGAGAGGGGGAGAAGTCTGGAGTGTTTACAGAAGAGAGGGACTGAGTGTGTTGGAGTAATGGACGGAGGGAGGCGAACGGTTGGATGCTCAGGCCACTGTCCTCCTAAATCACATCAAACTCACACACACACACACACACACACACACACACACACAAGCACAATGACTCCTTTTTAAGTAAAAACCATTCTCTTACAGGTCAGTCATGACCAAACAACACAACAATAGTAAGGGTAGTGTCAATATGGAGACAAATTTGACCTAACTAGGTCTATAAAGAAGTGAATAGTAGTTTTGATAGATATCTTTAAAATCATGTATGCTCACATTAGATGAAAACTTATTTTCATATCAGTGACCTTCAAAAAGCTGTTTTATTCTGCATATTCTGTGTGGGTCACCCTCTCATAGTGGCTGTCATGTTTAATAATACTTCAATTAATACTTTAATAATAAATGAATCATGGGTGAAAAAACACCTGCTTATAACCAGGCCCAGATGAAATCTGTGGACTGACTTCTGTGATTTTCTCAAAAAACAAACAAACCAAAACTTTTTGACAGTATCCTACAGGGCTTTATCTTTTTCAAGCACCAGTTGTTTTTGTATTGAGCATGACAGTATTTTTATTTATACATTACTTTTCAAGTGTTTGGGGTCGGTAAGACTTTTTCAAATGAATGAATGAATGACTCTCTTAGATGCTCGCTAAGGCTGCATTTATTTGATCAAAAATGCAGTAAAACAGTAATATTATGAAATATTATTACTATTAAAAAAAACTTTTTTTGTTTATTTTAATATATTTTAAAATGTAATTTATTCCTGTGATGGAAAAGCTGAATTTTCATCAGCTAATTCTCCAGTCTTCAGTGTCACATGATCCTTCAGAAATCATTCTAATATGCTGTTCTAAAATGAGAAAATTTAAGAAAATGTCTTCTTATTATCAATGTTGAAAAGAGTTGTGCTGCTTAATAGTTTTTTTTGAAAGTGGTGATACATTTTTTCAGGATTCTTTGATGTATAGCAAGTCCTAAAGAAAAGGATTTACTTGAAGTATTAATCTTTTGTAACATTATAAATGTCTTTGCTGTCACTTTTGATCAATGTAATGCATACTTGCTGAACAAAAGTATAATTTCTTCAAAAAAAAAAACCACAAACCTTTGAACTGTAACAAAACTATTTTCCACTTGTACATATCCTTTTTTTCTGCTCCCTGTTTCTCCAGATGCACTCAGTTTATTGCAGTATTCTCATGAACTCCAAATATGAACATAAAACTCTAGAGCATTTCCAGACTAATCCGACCTGCTTTTGATGCAAGATGAGAGAAGTCAGAGATGAGCTCTGGCTGAGTTTGTGATATTTGGGTGTAGTCCTGGCTCTTCTGGATTAGGACTCACACTATTCAGTTGTCATACATTAATCACCAGCTCATTATTCAATGCAGTCACCTCGGACACAGCTCAGGATTAAAGGCCTGAAAGGTCGTGTCACTGGATGCGCAGTTGCATCCTTTGATCTTCACTTTGACGTACCACTGAGTGTCCATGTGCTTTGTATATATATATATATATATATATATGACAGAAGTTAAGATTTTAGGTTGCTTTAAATTGACTGAATTTACTTAAAAAAAACTTTTGAACTTTCTATTCATCAAAGAAGCCTGGAAAAAATTTATATATATGAAGCAGCACAATTGTTATAATAATAATGAGCTCTGGCTGAGTTTGTGATAGCCCTGGCTCTTTTGGATTAGGACCCACACTATTCAGTTGTCATACATTAATCACCAGCTCATTATTCAATGCAGTCACCTCGGACACAGCTCAGGATTAAAGGCCTGAAAGGTCGTGTCACTGGATGCGCAGTTGCATCCTTTGATCTTCACTTTGACGTACCACTGAGTGTCCATGTGCTTTGTGCATGTGTCACTCAGTCTTTTTTAGATTTGAAAAGAAGACTTCATTCCTATTAGTGTAACCTTTTAGTGCCACAGGGTGCACTGGTTTCCTTTTAACATGCCCACGTTCCTTTGTTCCGTGCAAACATGAGAATCTTGATAGCTGGTTGTCCTTGGGCGATCTGGGCAGAGAACCACACTGAAATTGTGTTATTTGAGAAATCTGATTAAGCGTCAGAACACGCGCTTCACCTGATCACATGTCAGCTTAACTATGACATCAGCACTGACTAGTCATTTCTGTACCTGTCCTAACCATCTTGTGTTTTCTTGTTTTGCAGAGTGAAGCGCCTGAGGGAAAGAGAGCTGTTTTATTTTTTTAGTGAAGAAGAGTATAACAGCAGCATTTGTGCATACCAGTGGAAACGGAGGGGTGAGCAGCAGTCTCGTGGTACTCACCCCTCCTGGTCAGACTGCTGATGCTGAAGATGTTGACCCATAGTGCATGGCTGCTGTTCTTACTGTTGCTGGGTGTTGTGTCCACTCTGTGGGGTTACCCCTTCAGACCCCCGCTAGACCTGGATGTGACCCCCAGAACTACAGTCCTCTCCAACGGTATGATACACATGTTTTGTTTTTCATTCATTCATATAATCCTGAAGAGAAAGATCCACCAATCAGACTAGTCACTGTTACTATGGAAACAAATTAAGGCAAAAAGAGCTCTGTGACCATCCACACCCACAAAGCATTGCTAATATCTCGATCGAGTTTCCCTACCTTCTCAAACTACTTATATATTTATTTACATATATATATATA